GGCAGACGGTATTTGTGTGTCTCCATGTCCAAGGGCGCCGTTGTTATGATCTCGGGTAGGACGAGAGACGCGCCCGGGGCAACGTCTGGCGAAGATGACAATGTCCAAGTGTTAGGGTCTTCTCTCGAAGCAGTAGAAGATGCAGTCTGTGGTCTCGGGTCGTCGGACGATGTAAAGCCCTTCCAAGGGCGACCGCGTCGATTGATCTTCGATTCGACGGAACTCGCCTTATGGTTCTCGTCTATCAAGCGAATCTGGTCTTCAGGCAGGCGCCCAACTTGGTCTTGTTGGAGCGGTTGGTCTGTTGACTTCTTGTGCGAAGTAAAGCCGAGCGCTTTCAATCGGGCGGCTAGATTGGGTGAGGGTTTGCGAGTTTGTTTTGCCTTATTCGTTGTAGGAGAGCCTGCTGGTGTGGTGTTTGTGGATTTCGAAGTTACTGTGTTATCATTTGTCGGTCGTGAGGACGGTTTGTTTTCGGTGGTGTCGATGATGTTGTTGTTTACAACCTGGGGCTGCGGGTTTAGCTGGAAAAGTTGCGGGCTGGAGACGTCAGAGAAGCCAAGGGTCAAGTGGTCTGTTGTAGTAGTGGCTTCCTGGGCCTGCGCCTGGTCCTCCGCGTGCAGCAGGCGCTGTGGTTGGTGGCTGGAACACGAGTCTCTAGAGGGGACAACGGCACAAGCAGTTGTATTTGTGTTGTTGCAGCTGGCCTCTGCCTCTGCAACCGATCCTTCTGTGGCTGACATTTGTTCTTAGTGTTTCGTGGGCAAACCTTCAATTGACGTGACAGCCCTTTCGCGGTTTTCTGTCCTTGAATTTAACGCAGGCCCCACGTGCCTCTGTAGAGACAATCGCCTCTTGCAGTTAATTCTGCTGCAGTACGGTACGTGGCCAGTCGGAGACGGATGACAATGAGAGTACGACTGAGCTGGCTCGTGGATAGGCTGGGTCCGGTGGTCCTGAGCTCGAGTGATAACTGGGTCTAGCAGACAGATCCTCGCCGGGTTCAGTTGGGTCACCTGCGGGTTGTCGAATGGGAGGATCGATGAGCGGCGCCGGAATGCTGGGATTGCTGGATGCCTGGGCGAGCTCGTCAAGCGCACTGTTGTCAGTGCCTTAGTCGGTGGGGTACGCCGCAGCATTCAGCGACCAGGGAGTCTGGGGGAGTCGGCGAAACGGAAATGCAATCGTTATTGGAGGCAAAAGACATACGCCGCAGTATTAGGTATGGGGGTGTAGACGCCGGTCGGTACTGGTGTGGTTCTTTGTTGGGCGTCCACGCGATTGGGCTGGGATGCAGAGGCAATTCGTCCAACAAAGCGCCAAAGATGTGAATGGATTGCCTAGCACGGCATCGGAAAGGTATGGGTGAGAGGTACGTATGGGAGATGGACGGGTTTTGCAAGACCTCGGGAGTTTGGAGACCGGCAGGATGTCAATTCAGTCTCTGGCTTAATTGGCGTTCGTTCATTGCTCGGATCGGTCGCATGCGATTATGCTGGGTTGGTCCTTGCTTCGGCGCAAGTAGGAGTAGGACTAATGTAGGCGAGGAATCTCAAAGAGCGATCGAGGAGGGACGAAGCGATGAATTCAGAGGCGTCGTGTCTTGTAGTAAGGCGTCCGGGTCGACTGGGTGAATGAGGCAGAAGGGACAAAAGGAATGGCAGAAGCAGAAGAAGACGACGAGAAGGGATTGGGCAGCAGGAATGCTAGAAACAGTGTGTGAGGGAGTGACGACGAAAGTCAAAAACGTTCTCCGGAGTATTACCTCTGGCGGAGTATTCGTATTAGTCAAGATGAGGTGGAATTAGGTATGGAAAGAAAGCACTGGCCAGAAAGAAGGAAAGAAGGGAAGGAGGAAAAAAGGAAGGAAGGGAAGGGAAACGAGTGCCTTCCGAGAATGAACTCGAATCGGGGGGTTTTGGGGGGAACGATTTGGGAATTCGGGAAGGAAGGCGATGAGGACCTGGGCGATTTGCACAAGACGCGGCGGGCTCGTTTTCTTATCCCTTCATCAACGGCGTCCCGTAAATTGTGATACTTTATTGATTTGCACGAAGCTGCGCAAGCTACATCAAGCTAGCCTCTACCTTATTCTGGAGCTGTGCCTTTCCCTCATCTCTCTAACCTTACCTCGACTCCGTGACCCATCGTCAATGTTACACGGAGAACTCAATAGAGCATGGAGCCACAGACCGATTGTAACAGGACAAGACTTGACTCAAGCATGAGCTACAACGCCCATCTGCGGCCTGCTTTTACCAGTACGACACATCACAGCAAACTGTCTTACAGACATAACATGCAGCTGTTGAATACATATATCTTTGTGCGTCGCCATCGTCAACTTTTGGCAACGAACATCGTCTATTCCTCGACCACAGTTACATCGGCCCAAGCTTACTTATTTGCCCAGTCGTTCTCGACGCTCGCTCCTTGGCCCCCGGACGATGAAACATCCTTCGACTCCTTGCACATGTCCTTGTTGATTTCCCCCGAAAAGTTTCGCCATGCTCAACAATCATCGTCTTTGACACAAAAGACGCCCGCATCTATAGCATTCGTCGAGACATGTTTTCCCTTTGTACGGTAGTAAGGTGGTGGTATTAGCCTTTAGTACCACAAGCTAACTTCGGACATAGCTGTTCATCATGTCGTTGTATGCTCAGACAACTGTTGAACGTCTCAAGAGATGGATTTCAAGGTGCTCCTCTCTAGATTGCCGCCACCAAACGCACAATTTCGAATAAATTGTCAGCAGAGTAACGATTGCTCAACCGTCAACGTATCGACCCGCGGCCATGCCCCATGTCGCTCACGAACCAAGAGTTCATTGCTCTTAGGGTCTAACATTAGTGCCCTTGCAATTCCCGAGTGGACCACCACGTTGCTCGCGACAGCTCTTATTAGAGAGCCTTGACCATATTTCCGCAAGTTACGACGTTGCAGCGGTATCACCACTTGTGGCAGCTGATGTCCTGTCCTCTCGGCCGACCCTGATTGCAGTGGCAGACCTCGTTCCCGGTTCTGGACTGGTCACCCGCTAGCTGGCCGGGAGTCCTGGCTCTTCGGAAGCCCATGGAAGATTGGATGAGCCGGGGTGACCCTGCGCCGTGGGCCAGCGGATCGGTAGCCGGGGGCCGTAGGGCCTCGACGCTTCGCGCTCAGTTCCAGAGACCCGGGCATGTCCTTTTTGCTTTCTCGGCTTGGGCAAGGGCTGTTGCATCAACCACGGTTGACTGATCGGTATTTCATATGCACACGTTGCGTTTCAAGAACCAGCAGCACGAACCGTTCGGCGCCTGATGTTTCCCACATGTGCCAGTCCAACAGGCATAGCCATTGATACGCTGATACTACGTCAGGTAACAGAATCTATAAAGACTCACTCACACATTTCGGGACAAGTGTTGTCGGATTGAGCCGTGACACCAACGGCTAGTGCTGCATAGCATGCTGCATATTAAGACGTCGGGCTTATGCAAGGCACTGGCAGTTCTATTAGCGGCAATAGGTTGGATGAATGTCTCTCGTCCAATTTCCTGAGAAACTTGGATGCACGTCATACCCAATCCTGCCTGCACAGATTTTGTGCTTATCAATTATACATGCATCGGTACAGATCACGAACGAGGTTGAGCACAACGCCATTGATTATATTGGGAGAGGAGAGTGGTGAGTGGAGAGGTTACCCCCTCAAGCTGACATAGAGTTGTCTGACGCGATGGCTTGCATATTACTTGCATTACCGGAATCACCAGGGGGCCAGAATGGAAAATGACAGAGATGCGGAAATGGAGACGTTTGCACTCAGCATACCTAACATACCATGCTTGAGAGCACAGAAGCAGAAGAAAAAGGGTGAGGGCAAGACATAGGCAGGCACTACTTCATCTTAGACTTTTCAATGCAGCATATATCTTTCGTATTCCGAGGCCGCAGCGAACTTGCAGCATGTCTCTTCGGAATCTATCGATCCACTTGCTCGGAGAATCAAGACGTTGAGACAATGACAAAAGTTCGGCCAGCAGACGGATAGAGCTTCTGCGGGACAGGGTCAAGCATGGGGCAATGGTCTAGAGTCTGGCGGGAATGGCCGGGCCGCGACACGGATAGGGCAAGAAGCAGAGATGTATGGCCCTTGGCGCCATGTGGTTGAGGTTGCGCAATAATCAACAGCGATGCTTGGCCCTGTTTCTCTCGCAACTCGTCTTTCTGTGCTCCTTGGAGTGCACCCATCAGTTTCGTGCATTCTGGGTGGGAAATTCTCAGTATGTTCGCCAACCAACCAGTGAGGAAGTTGATAGCGATGCGGGAGGGAGCCCGTGTTTGGGATTGACGAAGAAAGAGGGGGGTTTGTTGGTCTGGTTCATCTCGATATCGGGAAACACGGAGGCTTTTGGCGGAATGAGATTATCCACTTGTGCTTCGTTGGCCGGACGAGCTGCTGCCAGCTGGACACTGTTTATGATTTGTGCCCCTGAAAATGTCATCACCACGGGAATCCGACTTGCAACAAGGTAGAGGGATGGGATAATGAGCTCAACGACAGCTTGGGATGCAGGAGGGCTGAGGTTTCTCATGCCTAGGGTAGCTTTATCATATAGTTAGGATAAAGGGTCGGGTTCGTTCTGGGCATCTTTCCGCAGCTTGGCCATTTGCGCGTTGCTGAGTCGATGTTTATGACTTCCCTTTGAGAATGTCTGGCTGAGATTCAGCGGTCATTTGCTTCGCACTTAGCGCATCCTGATGAGTTTGTGGCGGAATAAGTAGTCGGCGATCCCCTCTGCCCTAGTGTACCTTAGTGAGGAACACATGAAGTTGGAGAAGCTGCTGATGTTACCAATCGTTCTTTCGGGTACCTACGCTAGCTACCCACCTTCAGGTCCAGTTGTGGAAACAAACTTGTTCCGTTATTCTTTGTAGTATACCATCCGGTCGTACCTGTCCGAGGTGCTGCGTTTCTTTTTGAACTCAAGAAAAGCCAACCAGCCGTTTTGCAATATCTCTCCGATTTTCTGGAAAGAAAAAAAAAGCAATCACACACAATCGAAGATAACGGCTTCCGTTTCACGCGTTCCATCTTATCCCTCCAGCTCCAGCCTCCAGGCTCACACTTGAAGCAGCAAGCTCCAAGGTCCCGCGTCCCGCATCCTACGTCCCACCTTCCCCTCTCCTTTCCTTTGCACGCAGCAAGCACCCTCGACGCACCCCACCTTCGGAGAAGACGCGACGTTCAATTTAAACCGTCCCTTCCTGGCAAGTCGCGAGCCACTCGATTGGACCCCCAATTTGCCCGCTGGAGACTTTCCCTCGTCAGAGATTCGCCCTCGGCCTTTCCACACATCTCCACTGACGCAACCGGGACGAGGATCTTGGTGCCAGAGACCGCCAGGCGACCACACACTCCCGTCACACACCGCACCGGACTCTTTCTTTCACCTACCTTGCCAGTGCCTTACGCTGTGGCCAAGCTCAACACAGACCCCTGACACCGGAGAGTCGCGTCTTGTCACAGCACGCAGTCACGCAGGCACACCTTACCCTCGACCGTTTCTAGCCCACGACGAGCCTTGAAGAGACGAGACTTAGCTTTCTTTTGCCCTACCGTTGCCAACCTACCCTGCCTAGCCAGTGTTTACCGTCCGGGGTTATTAGTCCAAGAAACTTTCTCAGTCCGCTTCGTCCATTCTGGGGACCGTCTGTTAATCACCACTCGCTCGCTTCATTCTTTTTTGGCTTTCACCTGACCAAATAATCCGCCGTACGTCCCTCGAACCACCAGCACACGTTTCTTCGCGAGTGTCAACCCTCTTGCTTGCCGACCCTCTGGACGCTGCTGTGCACCCAGTTTCCTTTACACGGCCGTTGTATTTGCAAATAGACCTCTCCGACCTGTACATACCTTGAATCGTTGCCACATTGGTCATCGCACCCCCTCACGTTGCCTATCGCATAGCTTTGAGACCACCGCCGATACCTAGCTGAGACGAGACGTCGACACCCTCTGCTCGACCACTACCGCACCCTCCACAATATCACGTACCCGCCCAAGAGCTTACACATAATCCAACCCGACTCTCGAGCTTCAGAGCATTCGACTTTCTCAGCATAACCGAAATAATGGCTACGGCAAACGAAGAGACGCCGTCGTTCCGATGCGACTCCCCATCATCAGATGCATCCCCAACCCCAGCTATTGGCGCTTGCCCCGAGCTTTCTCGCTGCGTCTCGACTGCTTCTTCAGTCTCCCATGGATCCGCCACCGAGGGCAACTCTCGTGAATCTCTGGGAAGCTTCCGAGGCAGCACCTACTCCAGACAGTCCTCTGGGAACTACAGCCGCCGCTCCGATATCAGCTTCGCATCGTCTCGACAGTCCACTTGCAGCAGCGTGGAAGTTGGCCGCTCTTCTAGTCGCCGCCGAGGCTTTGTTCGACCGCAGGGCACCGACTTCGCTGCGAGTGCTCGTCACAGAGAAAGCGTACTCAGCCTGGGAAGCATCGCCCACCTACAGTATTATTTTGCGCGGACCGGTCTTCTCGACGGCAAGGGTGCTCAGCTAGCAAGAAAGAACAAGGCCAAAGGAGGACTGGATCTCTCCTCTGTCAGCAGCTCCAGCTCGAACTCGCCAGGTATCGTTGATTCAGGGGGCAACAGCCCAGAGCTAGGCTCTCAACCTTTTGGCACAGGACCCATGGTGGAATCGCCTACCGATGACCACTACTACTCTGACGATTTCGAAGAGGACCCGGATGTTCTGCCTCCGACCGCGAGCACTTACATTCACAGAAATAAGCCGGTGCCGAAGCCTCCTACAATCGAAGAGCTCAAGGCGGACTTGACAGGATCTCTCGAGAAGGCGGCTCAGGCCTTAAGACACGCAAAAAAGCATAGGGATAGCAGCCCTGTGCCGGAACTGCCGGAGATTCCTACAAGAGGACAAAGCGAGCCCCCCAAGAAAACATCAACAGGCTGGCATGAGGTTCAGGGCATGCACATTCTTGATGTCATGACACTGGCCATTCGAGCTGCCAGGAACTATTACACAGCGCATGAAGTCCCCGAGCGACTTGACGCCATCAAATCTGAAAAAGAGATCCGCACGGAACTGCTCTCTGTCATGGAGACCTTGAAGCAGATGGCAACTCGACAATGGTCAGGCGGAATGAAAGACGAGGAGCTGCGCATCCTCGAATCGTGGATTTCCGGACTTTTCAGCATGTTGAAGATTGAAGAGGAGATGATTGAGGCAGAAAAGGCGGAGCGAAGCTCTTGGACATGGCTGCAGGGTGACTGGGCTGGCAAAGAAGTGGAAAGAGAATTAGCTTTCATGGCTTCTCTCGTCCCTCAGGCCGACCCACTACCAGACTACACGCCTGCAGCTCACGCAAGCGAGTGTCCGACGCCTTATCTCACCAGTTTGCAGAATGGCATTCACCTCATTGAACTGCACAATGCGGCGGTGAAGAGGTCAAAACGGCGATTCGGCTTGATTACCACATTCCACACCGACACAGACAAGCCGTACCGGTCTGCAGACAATATCAGATATTGGGCCAAAGCAGCAGAGCTGCGCTGGGAAGTGCTGCTCAAGGTGGATGCCTTGGGTATTGTTTACAATAATTCTCCCGAAGTCTGGGTTAACTTTGAGAAGGCTATCATGGATTGGAGCCGAAAGGTCCGCGAGGAGATTACTTCTGAACTTTTGGGCTAAGCATTTGCTTGTCCCAGGCTGCTGTCGTTATGATTTATGCACCCAAATACCCGTCTTTTCTGGAGTTCTGTGGTGGAATTTGGTTTTCATTTGTTACATTTATCCCCTAGGCGGCTTTGAATCTATGCAGTACACACACACTCGACGGTTTGCATGTTATCTCGCAACGCCATCTAGATTATGGGGATTCTAGGAGATTGAAGTGTGGAAAATTGATGGTCCATCAATGGACGCGAGATAGGGCATTCGGGCGTTGGACATTTGTTTCTTACCATTCTTAGTACATAACTTTACTGGAGGCTTATCCCTCCTAATTGATATTGATCTACGACCACTGCGCTTTTGAACCTGTCTCGATATCTGAATACTTCAGTTTTCGGTACCCGATTTGCTTGATGTATAATATGTTCTGTGGGGTTCTCCTGACGAGAGAGTATTGAGCAGTCATTAATGTGCTTTTCACTCTCTCATAGTCCAGCATTGATAGCGAATTGAGGCCGTGCTCAGAAGAAGGCCGGTGGACCAGACCATCGAAGCCACAGTAATAAGCTACTACTGACGAAGTGAGCTTCGCTGATGCTTTTCATCAATGCACAGCACTTCAAGCTGAAGCCGGCATGTTCCTTGATGATGCAAGTAGGTGAGAATTGACCGGGAGCTGGTATTTCCCGGGTCCGAGCCTACAACCAATCAGAGAACAGCGGCAGAGCTTCGGTGGCCACAGGGATAGGGCGCTAGTCGGAGCTGAGCCGTGCTTGCCTTTGAGGCAGAAGGCTGCAGTGGGAGGTACGTCGACACCACAACCTCCGAAAACAACGATCTGATTACCACACGAGCTACCTCACCCACTCCCATCCACCAACCGACCCAACCTTCGAAACTCGAAACCCGAACGCGATCACCCACCGCCACAGCACCCCCTTCCGAACCGCAGTCATTCCATTTCCTCGACGAGATCAAGGCAGTAGCCCTTTCCTCTTCAACTTCCCACAACCAGAGATGTCTTCCGACGAGGAACGCCAGAAGGCTCTCGACTCGTACCGGGCCAAGCTGCTCGAATCCCGGGAGTGGGAAGCTAAGCTCAAGTCCCTGCGGCTCGAGATCAAGGATTTGCAGCGGGAGTTTGACAGAACCGAAGACAACATTAAGGCGTTGCAGAGTGTCGGTCAGATTATCGGCGAGGTCCTTAAGCAGCTCGATGACGAAAGATGTAAGTGAAGGCATCCCCATCCCGCTTTCCGCCTCCGATGGACACCATCCCCGCCCCACCACCACTACCTACCACGACCGCCGTCAAGATAATGATCTGAATGATTGGGACTCAACCTTTGCTAATCAACGTTCTCATTCACGAATAGTCATCGTAAAGGCTTCCTCCGGTCCCAGATATGTCGTCGGATGCAGATCAAAGGTCGACAAGGTCAAGCTCAAGCAAGGCACGCGCGTGGCACTCGATATGACGACACTCACGATCATGCGTATGCTTCCCCGAGAAGTCGACCCCCTCGTCTACAACATGTCACTGGAAGACCCCGGTCAAGTCAGCTTCGCTGGTATCGGTGGATTGAACGACCAGATTCGCGAGCTCCGCGAAGTTATTGAGCTGCCGCTCAAGAACCCAGAGCTCTTCCTGCGTGTGGGCATCAAGCCTCCCAAGGGCGTTCTGCTTTACGGACCTCCTGGTACGGGAAAGACGTTGCTTGCACGTGCCGTGGCAAGCAGTCTCGAGACCAACTTCCTCAAGGGTAGGTCTACTCCGTGGGCAGTGGTGGAAGACGATAGAAGGAAGTATGCTAACGGGGTCAAACAGTCGTTTCTTCAGCAATTGTCGACAAGTACATCGGAGAGTCTGCCCGCCTGATTCGCGAGATGTTCGGCTACGCCAAGGAGCACGAGCCCTGCATTATCTTCATGGACGAGATCGACGCCATTGGTGGACGCAGATTCTCTGAGGGAACCAGTGCGGATCGGGAAATCCAGAGAACGTTGATGGAGTTGCTCAACCAGCTGGACGGTTTCGATTACCTCGGAAAAACCAAGATCATCATGGCCACGAACAGACCTGATACCCTCGATCCCGCGCTGCTTCGTGCCGGACGTCTCGACCGCAAGATTGAGATTGCCCTGCCGAACGAGGTCGGCCGTTTGGAGATTCTTAAGATTCACGCCCAGGGTGTGGTGACGGAGGGTGAGATTGACTTCGAGAGCGTGGTCAAGATGAGCGATGGTCTCAATGGTGCGGATTTGAGAAACGTCGTGACAGAAGCGTAAGTGACTGCACATCTTGACAATACCCCTAATACCCGAAGCTAACTAGTAATGCCCAGTGGTCTGTTTGCCATCAAGGATTACCGCGACGCAATCAACCAGGACGACTTCAACAAGGCAGTACGCAAGGTCGCCGAGTCGAAGAAGCTGGAGGGCAAGCTCGAGTACCAGAAGTTGTAAGGTCAGAGAGGAGGCGACATGATGATTCACGGGATGAGGCGCGGAGGAGCAAAGGAAAGACATCAAAAGGGGCGGCTGTAACGAGCATCGTCGATTCTCAGCCGTTTAGAGGGTCTTTTAATGTGTTAAACAGTGTACAATACCCGAGTCCAGGTTTGGGGTTGTTTGCCATGGGATCATAGAGACGTACGGTGTGGAATAGAAGCAGCTACGGGATCCCAAAGATGAAACAAGCGCATGCACAAGCAGCAATGTCCATCGTTTACGACGACATTGTACGGATGTATATTAACCCGTATGATCAGCTTGCATTCCATGCCCACGCAACAAGAGCTATACGAAGCGCTTTGGCGTTTGTATCGTGAAATACCATGAAGAATGCATGACCATGGCGAGTTTCTTATCTCTGCGCCCTTTGAATGTTCCCTGGTAGGTAGGTAGGCAGGTATTTTTGGGGGGTCTGAGTCTAGGGTAGCCCGTAGCTGTGAGGCTCCATTTTTGAAGCTATTGATAATTGCACAGCCTCGACTGAGCTGGGGGGCTGGGTACGGGGTGTGGTCCGGCGCGGCGGCGCCACGTGCCAGAGTACCATCTTATTGAAGTGCCCAACAAACAATAGTGTGTCTGTACTCGAGAGCGCTACTCGCTGGCAGAAGGCCTCCGTTTACTCATCCACCTCGGCGCACGGCGAGGATGCCGTGTTAGGCCAGTCACCAATGTCGAGTTCGACACGGGCCTTCATATCTACAGCAGGCCCCCGAGTAAGCGTAGGGCTGGGGAGAAAGGAACGAGGGGTGTACGCTTTGTGGTGCAAGCCACAGATAGCTCAGGGGGTGTATTTAGGCACTGCTCATCGACATCGTTTGGTGTAAGCGAAGCTACACAGCGGATTGTGCTTTTTAGTCGAGTCTTACATGATCTTTCTGTTCCTTCGCTAACAGCTTACACTGCAGGCAGACGACGGAAGCACATGCTTACAATCCTGTCTGACGAGAAGAAAACGGGTGGGGAATGAGGTCGCACATTGTAAGCTTGGGAGGATCGAAGGTCTGGTCCTGAATCTGTGATTCGACGAATCCGCCATGCCGTGCAAAGGAGGCTGTTGAAGCTGCTGCAAGCGGATGGCGGGGCTCTAGCTGAGACCACCTCTATGTGCTGGGTGATCTCGCACGGCAACGAATAGAGACAAAGGTCAGCCACATGTTTTCGATGGGAAGATTGCCGTGAGACTGGAGATGAGCGACTGCAACCGGGACATGCTCTGCAGGCGGCGTCTCGAGTACCCCGGCGGCCGTCTGATATGAACGCATCCACGCATGAGGTGTTGGACTTTGTTTGAATCTGGCTTGGTGGGTTCGCTTTTCTTCGGATTGAGCAACACTGAAGCCATGGCGAGGTACCTCATACAGTCGTGTGATGCATGGTTTCTGTGTGGGCCGTACCGGTCTTCCACTCGGCCTATTTGCTGATTCCAGGGACCGTGGAACGTGGGTTATACGTAGCACGAAATCGATATCAGAAAGATCTGGATAGCGCGCAACGAGCGGCTGTATGATACTAAACAGGCGCGCTCGACGTGTCCGGGCTTGGTTCCAAACTTCAGAGAGCGTTTGCCTCGGCTGGGTGGACTCGCGACCGATTCGAGAAGATCTGGGTCAAGCTGGGGCGGCGAGATGGGCGGTGGCATTGAAAAGTTGCCAGATGGTGATTTGCAGGAGAGGCCGGTCTAGCAGGGTTCTCTCCTCGGTGCGAGCTGTTATTTTTGGCGACTGGTATACATACGGAGTGGACGACAAGCCGCCCCTTTTGTGGCCCGTTCTCACGATGGCAATTGGGGCTGTACCTTTTCTTAGTGCGTTGTCTTCTCTTCTGTTTTTTTTTTTCTTCTCTTCCGCGCTTCTCTTCGTACCTGGAGGCCCCACTCCCTCCCTCCCCTGTGCGGCCCCTCCATGCTTCATGGGTGCAACCAGCAACGGAGCCAAGCAGCAAGAGTTGGACACCAGGGGACCCGAGCTTGGGAATTCTTGTCGCTTGGTGTCACATTGCCGACGATCCCCGCTGGATTCTTTCTAGCGCTTGACAACCAAGGGGTGTCCGCACCCAGATGATTGGGGACTGGGGCACGTCGGGGCCAGGTAATACGAAAAGAAGGGGTCGAAAAAGCGATGATGTCGGTGATGGAACCCTCGAAAAAGCGTTGGAGGGTAGGACAGAGCATGACGAACGCAGGTAGCCTTCCGCACCGATGCCCGAGAATAGGGGACGTCTTTGACGCAACATCAAGAAATAATCGAACCGACAAATCGGGTGGACGCAGCGTATCGCAGACGTTAGACAACTAAGGTAGCGAGTTGTCATGTTTGATATTTTGTGTACCTGACTATTTGTGCACATTACGTGCAGTTGTCGATTTGCTTGGTATAATTGTGATTCCCAGTTAATGACGAGCTGTTGTTGGGATAAGGCGGTACTGGATCAGATCTTGGTGTTGGCGGGTTGGGGGGCGCATGGGATGAGCACTTCAGGAGGCGCGTGCTCGGATAGGTACGAAGTACTCCATATACCATACCTGCCATGCCATGCGTGTGCGTGTGTTGTGGGAGAGTGGGGGAGCTCGGGTCAAGTTAAGTTCCCGTAGCTACTTCGCACATAGTAGTCCATAGGAAAATGCGCTGGTAAAGGTACGGGCTGTGGTAGAAAAAGAGGTGTGTTGAAATTCGATGGATGGCAAGGCGGGTGAGGCGTTGCAGCAAGACTTGACGGCAGCAGCTTTCCTAACTCGGTGCCTGCTTGGTGCGGGTTTCATCATGAGCTGACCATTTCGGAAGGCTTTAGCGTTACAAATGCAGCTTGCGGAAATCGTGCCTTTCTAGCGGCTGGATTGGAATGGAAGCGGCGAGAGCAGCATCGGAGTCAGATGGATGCCAAATCGTGCTCAATCAAGTGTTGGTTGGCTGATTATCTGTAGAATTCCTCAAGCGAGAAAGGTGAATGCACATAGTACCTATGGTAGTACCTATCCAGGACTTCGTACTTGCAAGTAAGTGCTATGTAGATATTACCATGAATCATTTGGCCAACAACATTGGTCGTACTGTATCCGTAACAGCAGTTGAAATGAAGAAGCAAGTCTTTTCTAAAGCCTACGATGTTATTGCGGTACGTACCGAGGGCGATCTTTGAAGCTAGTGTAGCAGCCGAATGGCTCAGCCAGGGAATGGCGCCACAGTCCACGAAAGGAGGGGGACCTTGAGGAGGATGGGAGGAGGAGGAGGAACCCAAGAGGAACCCACTGGGAGAGCCTGGAGGAGGTGAGGGATGGGAGCGGTGGGTGGCATTCCTGCACTGCGCCTGCGGCCGCGTCCAGGTACCGTACGGATAGTCTGAAATAGTGTCTGTCTCTGGATGAGATGAGAGCAAGAGGTGGGATGGCACAGAAAACGACGGACCAGTCAATGATGCAGCACAGACAACATGTCAGACATTGGGCTGTAGGTATTCTGCCTTGTCTGCAGTCTGCTCAGGCACACAAGAAACAACGGATTTCGCCGGGATGGGGCTAGAACTGTTCTTCAAGATGTGTGGTTAACTCAAGGTTCCAAGGAAATATCGCGATGTGTGTTGCTGCAGGCAAGTGGTGCCAGAAACTGCAGCTCCTTTGCTGTTGCCGGTGAGGTGGGGGCCCTTCCAGTCTCCAGAAACCTGCTGCCCCTCACTCGCTGCATTCGCGGCTCTTCCACTGGCTGAGCACGTCTGTCTTTCCCAACTCTGACCGGGTCGCCCCAGACATCGAACTGCAAAGAAGTGCGGATTACGGATACCGGTACGGATAGGTCTCTGTCTCTCTGCAGTCTACGGAGTACACAGAGTAGGTAGGTATTCCTGCTCCGTCGAAATCTAGATCCATTCTCCATTCCGTTGCCCTAGCGCCTGTCTGCTCCGAGTCCTGGCATATGCCATCCCAGCTGCAAAAGTGTTAGACACCTCCAACTTGGCGACTCGAGAACTACCTTACCCATCATCGTTTGTAGACCGACCCAGCAATGAGTCTGCTGGACTTTCCTGGAGGCACTCAAATCAATGACTTAGACATGATATCTACCTTAGCAAGCGAAAACGACAATTATATGCTGCTTTCCTGCCAACTTCTACAGCTAAAAAGAAAACGGGCAACTCAACTAGCTCAATAAACAAACATGACCGTCTCACAAAGCATCTGACCTCATTCACTGCTCTCTGAGACTGACGTCTTCTGCTGATGTATCAGGTGAATTGTAGGTGTCCGTACACATTACCCGAACTTGCCTGCTTGCTATCCTGTGATGAAGGCATTGCCTACCAAACAGCAAGTAAACAGTCAGTACACTCAAAACAACACTTCAGCAACTCATTGCGCGCTTGTTTCTTACAGCCTTGTTTCCTTCCCTGGCTTTCTCTGGGCAATAGCAAGACATCATCGTCCATAACAAGAACGGATACCACCACATAGTGTACCTGGCCCTGCCCACTCACCCCCATCCCGTCATCTTTGGTCCTCACCCTCACCCTCAACCCGTGCCGCGCCGCGCCCTCTCTGTCATCCTCAATACGAGCACGCCCCTGCCACACCCCGCCCACCGCCCCCCTCCACGCCTCTGGGCGCTACTGCGTATTCTCTCCACGTACACAATACACTCCCCTCCCATTGCTCTCCAGCCAGTTGAACCAGCTGCACATAAAGCTGCTCAGCTCCCGCCTCCTGCATCTTGCTCTACCCTACTCATTCTCTCTTGATCCAACTATTCATCTCTCTCGCTCTTCTTGATACCCTTCGCCGCCGCCTCTACCACCCGAGCCTCCGCCTCTTTCTGTTAATTGGTCTTTTACGTTTCTTGTCAGGGTCTTCGATTGCGTTGAATCAACATGTGGTATGTCTCCCCCCAATTCCGCTCCCCGCTCTCCTGAAAGCTTGCCGGCATCCTCCCCTTCCCCTCCATCCAGCTTCTGCCAGCTGAAAAAAAGGGGCCGGAGCGCCGACAGCCACAAAGGCAATTGGCATCACAGTAAGCAGTAAGCTGACGTGCACCTCTCTCCCAATAGTGGCATTTTCGGCTACGTCAACTACCTGGTGGAGAAGGACCGCAAGTTTATCCTCGACACTTTGGTGAACGGTGAGTACACCGCCTCCTCCTGAATACTTCCAATTGGAGCCACATAGCTCCACCTTATCTCGAAAGCTGTTTTGCTAACGGGCCTCTGCTTCCAACAGGTCTCTCCCGTCTCGAGTACCGTGGATACGACTCGGCCGGTCTTGCTGTCGACGGTGACAAGAAGAACGAGGTCTTCGCCTTCAAGGAGGTTGGCAAGGTCGCCAAGCTCAAGGAGCTCATCGCCGAGTCCAAGGTCGACGAGACCAAGTACTTCGACTCACATGCCGGTATCGCCCACACTCGCTGGGCTACCCACGGCCCCCCGTCCCGTCTGAACTGCCATCCCCACAGGTACGTTTGCACACCCGCAAAAACAACAGCAAACTTTCCACTTTGAATGCTTCCTGGTCATCAAGAACTCAAGTAGCTGACATAACTTCCCATCTCCTAGATCTGACCCTACCTGGGAGTTCACCGTCGTCCACAATGGTATCATCACCAACTACAAGGAGCTCAAGACCCTCCTGAGCGCCAAGGGCTTCAAGTTCGAGACCGAAACCGACACCGAATGCATTGCTAAGCTCGCCAAGTACCTGTACGACCAGCACCCCGATATTGGCTTCACCGACCTCGCCAAGGCTGTCATCAACGAGCTTGAGGGCGCCTACGGACTTTTGATCAAGTCCGTTCACTACCCCCATGAGGTCATCGCTGCCCGCAAGGGTTCTCCTCTTGTCATTGGTGTCAAGACTCAGAAGCGCATGAAGGTCGACTTCGTCGATGTCGAGTACTCCGAGGAGGGTGCCCTCTCTGCCGAGGCCGCCTCCCAGAATGTTGCCCTCAAGAAGCAGCAGGACAACTTCTTGAACCCCAACACTCTGCTGGGTGCCCCCGACAAGTCGCTTCTGCACCGCTCGCAGTCGCGCGCTTTCATGACCGACGACGGCATGCCCATGCCCACCGAGTTCTTCCTCTCGTCTGACCCGTCTGCCATCGTCGAGCACACCAAGAAGGTCATGTACCTCGAGGACGATGACATTGCTCACATTCACGAGGGCTCGCTGAACATTCACCGTCTTAAGAAGGCGGACGGCAGCTCCAATGTGCGCACCATCCAGACCCTGGAGCTTGAGCTTCAGGAGATCATGAAGGGCAAGTTCGATCACTTCATGCAGAAGGAAATTTTCGAGCAGCCCGAGTCCGTCGTCAACACCATGAGAGGTCGTCTCGATGCCGCTAACAAGACTGTCACCCTCGGTGGCCTCCGCTCTTACATTTCTACCATCCGCCGCTGCCGCAGAATCATCTTCATCGCATGCGGTACCAGTTATCACTCATGCATGGCCGTTCGCGGTGTGTTCGAAGAGCTGGCCGAAATCCCCATCGCCGTTGAGCTGGCTTCCGATTTCCTCGACAGACAGGCGCCCGTCTTCCGTGACGACACCTGCGTCTTCGTCTCCCAGTCTGGTGAGACTGCCGACTCCCTCATGGCTCTCCGCTACTGCTTGGAGCGTGGTGCCCTGACCGTCGGTATCGTCAACGTCGTCGGTTCCTCCATCTCCCTCCTCACCCACTGCGGTGTTCACGTCAACGCCGGTCCCGAAATCGGTGTTGCCTCCACCAAGGCCTACACCTCCCAGTTCATTGCCATGGTCATGTTCGCCCTCTCTCTTAGTGAGGACCGCGCATCCAAGCAGAAGCGTCGCGAGGAGATCATGGAGGGTCTCGCCAAGATCCCTGAGCAGATCAAGGATATCCTCACCCAGGACCAGTCCATCAAAGAGCTCTGCTCCAAGACTTTCCAGAACCAGAAGTCCCTTCTGCTCCTCGGTCGTGGTGCCCAGTTCTCTACCGCCCTTGAGGGTGCCCTGAAGATCAAGGAAATTTCCTACCTTCACTGCGAGGCTGTCATGTCCGGTGAACTGAAGCACGGTGTTCTTGCTCTCGTTGACGAGAACTTGCCCATCATCATGATTCTCACCCGTGATGACCTCTTCAAGAAGTCGCTCAACGCCTACCAGCAAGGTAAGTCTGGGATATTAGCCAACATTAAGCTTGATCATTTGCTAACAAACTGAACAGTTATTGCTCGCAGCGGAAAGCCCATTGTCATCTGCAACCCTGGTGACGAGGAGTTCAAGACCAGCGAGGCTGAGAAGATTGAGATCCCCAAGACGGTCGACGCCCTCCAGGGTATCCTCAACGTCGTTCCTCTGCAGTTGATTGCTTACTGGCTGGCTGTCATGGAGGGACTCAACGTCGATTTCCCTCGTAACCTGGCCAAGTCTGTCACTGTCGAGTAAACTGCTCACATAGTCTGAGTGAAGTTTGGTTTATTGTCGGGTGATTTGCCCCCTTGGAGTTGGGTTGCCAAAAGGGAGGATAAGCCCTTGATGCTTTTGATGTCACAGCGGGCCACAAAAAGGCGATGGCAACTTCGGAGCCCTCTGATGTATTACTGGGTATTGTGAAAATGAGGGAATGGTCCAGCATGGTAGATTTGGGCCGGTCAAGATAAAGGAGCGTATCTTTTTGAGGTTAAATGCCGTAGTCAGGCAACCTGAAGCAATGAAGAACAATATTGTCTATTTCATTTGGTGTAACACATGCTTGTTAGCACACGTCTGATTTCATCGTGATGTCGATAAGCCCTGGGTTGCAGGGCTCGTGCTTCTCTTCTACTACTTGCGTCTCATGAGTATTCCCACCCACGGGACTGCCAGAGGTTATGCCGAATACCCAGTCATTGTCATTTCATTTCCACCCATTCTCTCACTGCCTGTCTCTCTATTTCCCAAAGATTCTTGTGTTCGTGCCTTCCCCTTAGTTCACCTGCGTGCCGTAGCCGCGGATCCGTTCCGCAAACTTCCAGCTCTGCTTCTCAAGCTTCTCACTCTCCTTCAAGTCGACTCCATCCTTGGTTACTACAGCGATCGAGTAGGAATCCGAGCTGCGAGCGTCACGGTAGAAGAGGACCTTCATACACTCCTTAATCACGTCGACGGCCTGCTCCTTGGAGAGCTTAGCGGCGGTCTCCTCGTCGGGGGCGTAGCGACGCATGATGGGTTGGGCGAGGGCTGAGCCGAAACCCGTTGCCAGGGAGGGAGAGGTGAAGGTGGTGCCGAGCAGGTCGGCGGCGGCGAGGAAGGGCTTGTTGTTGTCGTCGAGGCCGGCGACGAGAAGGTGGTTCCAGAGGGGGTCGAAGTCGGAGCGGCGCTTGTAGAGGAGCTTGGAGAGGTACTTGTGAAGGTTCGCGGCGTTGAGCCGGGCGGGGGCGTCGTTGGCCAGGTCGTAGGACTCCTCAATGTCGAGGCTTGAGAGATGGCGGTCGAGGTATTGCATGTCGGAGACGTCGCCGCCGAAGCCCACGACTGTGGAGTTGGCGAAAGTGCGGAGACGCTTGACGTCGGTGAAACGGGCAAGGGAGCCGTAGGATGCTATATGATAAAACATATGTCAGCTTTCATGATCGGAGCAGTATGGTGATAGCACAGGACGGTATTGGAGGGCGAGCAAAGACAAAGACGTACCCAGATTGTCGGCGGCGATGACGACACCTTCGCTGAACTTGATGGCAATGACTGATGTACCCGTGACGATGGGGGCCTGTGTCGCTTGGTTGGGACCATTCGTGTTCATGTACGAGCCATCGTAGGCTCCGTAGACGTCGTCTCTAGGCTATGAGGAGGGGTTCCGGCTTGTTAGTCCACGATGCGAGGCTGAGATTCCCAGGAAGGAGGGGAAGGGGGAGACTGGGGATTGCATACACGGCCCCAAGCTTGCGGTCTGTGATCCATGATGGCTGGAGTTTGTGTGGTTTGGAGATCGAAATGATGAAAAGGTGGTCGGAAAGGAGGATTGGCTTCGTCGTTGTTGCAAGTTCGTGGGTGGGTTTGGTGATGGTTTGGTATGTGAAGTTGATTGAAGCTTGTCCGGGGTGAGCTTCGCGTCCCGTGGGTGCCTCTGCAGGCTGGCTGGCTGACTGGCTGACAGGCCAGTTGCTCCTGCTGCTGCTCCCGCCGCCGCTAGAGCTACTGCGTCAGGGCTCTGGTGCCTGACAAACGGGGCCGCAAGTTTGGGGTGGGCTTGCCAAAAATGGTCAGCTTGGAGCTGTTGTGGTGGGTGATTGGAGGTGGCGTACTCGGAACTCTGTTTTGCACCCTTTTATCGAAGTATTCTGGTACTCGGTACATCAGAGCTCCAGGGGTGGATGGTCAAACAAACAAGGAGGTCGACCAAGTTCAGTCGCATTGCTCACAGTCCCTCGTCATTCCGTCAACACCACGGACGGCAATTGTGGTGTCGAAAACACACCCCCGACTCCCCCGACTCCCACGATTGGCCTGATCCTAGCCTCAATACCGCTCGCATTCGACTCGCCCTATCCAGCCCCTTCCGGATTGCCCTATCGCAATCGACCACCACCACTAAACATCTCCCAGCTCGCTCCAAAACACCAAACACCAGCCCACTCACAAGTTCACAACAATGTTGACAGCAATCGGCCGCGCCGCCGCTCAGCGCGTGCTCCTCCGCACCGCCCCGCTGGCAGTCCCGCGAACCCAGCTTGCCGTCGTGCGCGCAGCGTCTTGCCGCGGCTTCGCGACCTCGCAATGGGCGCGCATGCCTGCCACCAAGGCGGCGACGACCACTAAGACCAAGACGAAGACCACGGCCGCCAAGAAGAAGCCCGCCACCAAGGCCAAGAAGCCCGCCGCTAAGAAGCCCAAGGCGAAGAAGAAGGTCGCCGTGAAGAAGGCTGCGCCCAAAAAGAAGAAGGTCAAGAAGGTGGTGCTCACGCCCGAGCAACAGAAGAGGCTTAGGGTGCGGGAGTTGAAGGCGGCAGCGCTGCTGGAGGAGCCGAAGAAGCTCCCAACGAACACATTCCGGGTGTATGCTGAGCAACAATTTGCTACGGAGCCCACCTCAGATTTGAAGTTGACCGACCGGGTCAAGGGCATTGCCGAGTCTTACAAAAACCTGTCCTCATACGAAGTCCAGGTAAGGCCTTATCCTCTGTCTCGTTTCCTCTTCTGTGAACCTCCAACAGAAGCCCCTCGATCCATAGCAAACGAAGGACTGACAAATCTGGGATACATAGCGTCTTGAAGAGACTGCCGAAGCCAACAAGCTGACCAACAACGCGGCCTACAAGTCGTGGGTTGAGTCGCTCCAGCCCACGGTTGTGGCCGAGGCCAACCGCGCCCGCCTGAGGCTCCGCAACCTTACCGGCAAGCAGGTCCCGCGGACCATCCGTGACGACCGCCTCCCCAAGAGGCCGCACAACGCCTACGCGCTCTTCGTCAAGGCGCGATTCGGCAGCGGCGACTACTCCAACCACACTGGCAAGGCGAGTGAGAACATGCAAGCCATTGGCAACGAGTGGAAGCAGATGTCTCCGCCCGAGAAGATCGCGTATGAGGAGCTCGCCAAGGCTGACTTTGACCGTTGGGAGCGCGAGTCGCTGGAAATCTTGGGCCATGTCGTCAAGCGTAGCCCTTCTCCCGAGTAAGAAAAATTCACCCAGTTCAGGTCACGAACCTGAGCGGTAATCCCTTTCTTTCTCTCCTCGAGGATTCCCCTTGAGGAATAAATTCCACCCCGCGGCGTCAAGTGTCAAAAAAAAGTAGGATATGCCTGAGCGAGTTCAGCAGAGCGATGAATCGTGTACGAGGAGGAGCAAGTCGGGAAGAGGAGGGTATGCTTATTGGTTTTCCTTGTTCTGTACAGAGTAGGAATTGCTAGAAGGATCGGTCGATGTTCCTTAGCTGTATTTCAGATACCAAATGTCAAAGAGAGGTTTCGCGACGAGAACAAAAAGTTCAATTTGCTCCCTATATACCATTTTGAAGGTGCGCCCAATGTTTGTTTCTATGCTAATCAGGTTGTTTGCCCCGTATCCAAACTTGTCAAGCAATACCGCCCTGTCGAACCCCTTACCTTATGCAAACGCCTCGCTTAACCAAGGAAAACAAGAAGGAAGTAAAACGAAATGAAAACTGCCCGCCGCGTCGTCGCCCAGCCTACTACATCCCATCGTCGGGATCGCCCTCCACGCTCTCCCCAGAGTCGGAGTTTTCGTGTCCATTGGTGATGACGATAACCTCACCCGCACCGTCCAGCCACTTCGCCGCATCCTTCTTCAGCGCCCGCTCGCTCGCCAGGTACAAGGCCAGATAGATGTGGCCGACGATATGGCCCCAGCAGTACACGCGTATACAGGACCAGTCCTCTGCGCGTTTACACCAGACGCCCCATCCCGCGAACCCTTCGAGGATGTAATCCGTCAAAAAGTGCCAGGCTCGCTCGCGGAGACTCGGTCGCCAGCCGGTCCAGTCCAAATGCCAGTGGCCTCGCTCAAAGGGACGCAGTTCCCTCGTCTGTTCAACCGGGGCAAAGCGCTTCGATATCTTGAGTTGGCGGGCCAGCTCCTTCAGCTTGGGCGTCAGGAGATCATCTGGCGTCAGCTCGCTGGTGCCGACTGGGGGGCCGACGGGGTGGATCTCGAGACGTGCGAGGTAGCTCAAGTGCCTCTCATTAGGAGGCCGTTGAGGCCGGAAGAGATCGCTGGGCCCAGGGCCTACATCTGAGGAGCTTCTCGTGATGACCGACCTCGATTCCGAAATGGGCGCTGACCGTTTGTGCCGTTTCGATGGAAGAGGAGGCTCAGAGCCGGCTCGGTTTGGCGATGACGGTATTGCTCTCTTCCGAGGCGGTTGGCAAGGCGTGTCCTGTATTATCTGCTCAAAAGGAGAGCTGACTAGAGGCGGTCGCTTCAGAGCAGGGAACGGCGTGTTGAGGATTATAGCATCTCCGGGAATAGTAGAGGCTGCTGGCACTGGGGTGGCATTGCTCTTGATTGCCAGGGAGTTGCTCGACGTTACGAGAATAACCTGACCATCGTCCTCATCTTCATTACAGTCTGTCTCTATGACTGGCGTAGCCGTTGCGAATACTTCTGGAACTTGTTGTTGGCTTGCCTCTGGAGATAGTTGCTGAGATTCCTCATCGAGTTTGCTATCGAACTGCCCTGCCAGATGTTCAAAGAGTCGACTTGGGGATGAGAACTCGGCGAGACTGATGTCATATGACGGCTGAGAATCGCCGACGACACTGGGAGGAGCTACCCAGCTAGCCTGCGTGGGCTGTGAATCTGCCACAGGTTGAGACGAAAGTGGTAAGTCTCTAGATGCAAGTGGCCGACCGAGGCCCGGGGAATTTCTATTGTCCAAGACACTCCTAAAGGACAGTTGCTGTGATTCGAATGATCCAAACGTTGCGGGGTATTGAGGTGGCGGTGGTGGTATATATGGTGGTGATGAGGTTGCTGGTTGAGTTGTTTCGCTATCGAGGTTCGGCACATCTGACCAAGCAGGCAATGCTGGTGGCTCGGCCTCTGAGCTGGGGATAGCTTCGACAACTTCCTCTTCTGAAGGTTTGCAGAAAATATTGGCCTGTCTTGTTGGTGCAAAATCAAGATATGCCTGTGCAAGGGCTCGGTAGCGCACATCATCGATGTTTCTGCACGGCGCTGTGACATGCACTAGGATCTCAACGTTGTCGTGTGCCTCCATGACAACCTCACTGCGAGACTGGAGAGCACATTCATCTCCAAGAGCAAGCGCCAAGATGCATAATAACGGAAGGTGCTTTCGTGGGTAACAAAAAAAAAAGACGAAGTAGGTTACGAAGATGATAGGTCACGGTGGCTTTGACCGAAAAAAGTTGTGAAGGAGAATAAAGGAATCCCGCCTGTCACTCTTCGCCTAAGAATATGTCAGACTCAAGGTGAAAGTGAAGTCTTAAGAGACGCGCCTGCATAGCAGTCTTGAAAGTCAGTGCTCTTCAAGGTGGGGCACCCTGTTGCATTCCCCCAGCACCTCATGTCGTGGTGAATGCGGAAGCAGACATACATCTCACCGGCCCCACCACAACAGCGTCGTATGTAGAGAGTTGGATGTTCTGCGAGGTATTCTCTGGCATGTTCTCCATACGGATAGCCTAAATGCAATTAGCGCCACTCAGAGAGTTCAAAAGTAGTTATACTAACCTTGGAGGGGTAACATTGCCTAGTTGATGTGTACTAGGTACTCAAGCTGTACTTCGAAATTGGATCAAACAATTTGAAGCTTGGCCCATCTGGTGCTGTGCCATTACCCCAGAAATCCTCAGTTCAGGGGACCAGAAACAGCAGACCACGCCAATTAATTCTCCTTTCCCAGAGCCTCCTCCAACTCCTCCACCTCAGCCCGTGATAACACCCAGACTACCCTCTCTCCCACCCAAAAACCAGCAGCGCCGCGAACATGTCTGCAAAGCCCACGTCGCCCCCCAACTTGGGTAAGGTTCTCGTCGTCGGCGGCAACGGCTTCCTCGGCCACCACGTGGTCAACCAGCTCCTGGCCGGCGACCGCTGGGCCGTCGCATCCGTTGACGTTGTAGATCTCCGCTGCGCCAACAACCGCAACCCCAAAGCCAACTACCATGAGGCGGACATCACCGACGTAGACAAGATCAAGTCCCTCTTCGAGAACGTCAAGCCCGACGTCGTCGTCCACACCGCCTCCCCCGCGCCTCAGGGCGACAGCGCCATCGCAAAGGATCTCTTCCGCAAGGTCAACGTCGACGGCACCGCTTCCATCATCGCCGCCTGCCAGGCTGCCTCCGTAAAGGCTCTCGTCTACACGTCGTCCGCGAGTATCATTAGCGACAATGCCACCGACCTCATCAATGCCGACGAGCGTTGGCCCGTCATCCGCGGCGAACTGCAGACGGAGTACTACTCCGAGACCAAGGTGCGCGCGCCAGCTTACGAACCCCCGCCTTCCATTGCTCTCCTAACGCGATGGCCACCCTTCTCTGCTTCTCCTTCAAGTGTTGTTGCGTTACCAATAACTGACATGTGACCATCCGTAGGCCGCCGCAGAAGAATTGGTCCTCGAGGCAAATCGCCAAGACCCCTACCCCCTCCTCACATCCGCCATCCGCCCCGCGGGCATCTTCGGCGAGGGCGACACCATGGTGACGCATCAAATGGTCAAGATCTATCGGGAGGGCAAGACGGGCGTCCAGCTCGGCGACAACGACAACCTCTTCGACTTCACCTACGTCGGCAACGTCGCCCACGCCCACCTCCTCGCCGCCCGCCTCCTCCTCGCGACCGCCGCCTCCTCCATCACGCCCCTCGACCACGAAAAGGTCGACGGCGAGGCCTTCCTCGTCACAAACGACAGCCCCATCTACTTTTGGGATTTCGCCCGCGCCATCTGGCGCGCCGCCGGCTCCGACAAGGGCACCGACCACGCCTGGAAGATCTCCCGCGAGTTCGGCATCGCCCTGGGCTTCTGCTCCGAAATCTTCTTCGCCATCATCGGCAAGCCGCCCATCTTTAACCGCCAGCGCTGCATCTACAGCTGCATGACGCGCTACTACAACATCAGCAAGGCCAAGCGCCTGCTCGGGTACCGACCCATTGTCGGCCTCGACGACGGCATCAAGAGGGGCGTGCAGTGGTTCCTGGACCAGGAGAAGGCTGGCAAAGTGAGCGTCAAGGCATAAACGGCGCTGTTACAAAGGCGATCATGGTTGTTATGAAGGGCGGTGGTGTTTTAGGGATATGAGACCTTGATGTTGAAAAAAAGTTTTCAGAGATTTTTCATCGTATATACATACAACCCCTCAATGCCAGAGGGAACTAATAAACGGCCAATAAACGGTCACATCATGAGCAAGAGCAACACATCCCAGCAGGCGTTGCGAATGGGATATGAAACATGGTTGTAGGACACGCGAGCAGCAACATGTTTGCACACATACTCAGAGGCAATAGTTGGAGAAAACCTGCAGGCAATGCTTGGCCTGTCCTATTCGCATTGGCAGAACTACCTAGGTGGCCCTTTTACTCCATCCATAGCTATACGGAGGAGCGTCTTTCAAAGGCGAACAATAGACGAGGTTTCCCCCTTCCTCCCAACCCCTTTCTCAAGATGCGCGCAAACGTGGCGCACTATTCGGCCTCCTCCCTTCCCCCTGGCTCCAGATCATCTCACAAATGTAATCCGACATCTCTCTCTTTCAACAAAAGAAGCGAAGCTATACTAGGTCTCTCGCGCAAGCCAAGAAGAAACGAGGCCAGCTGTCCAGCTCGAGACATATCAATCAAACCAGACCGGTATCGCCCATCGACAAGTCAATGGGCCTAGGGCCTTTACTCCAAACAAGCCAGGGTCAAACCAAGACCACCAATCCTCTTTCCCCCCCTTTCCAGTAGACGACGGGATCGTATTTTGTGCGAAGGAACACCAGCAGACCGTTAGGATACCTCATTCCATATCGATCCGATGCTTCACTCTCGGAGAAGCCAAGAAGCAGAGGGTTTGACAAAGTGTTGGAAGAGAACTTTGAAAAGAAATAAAAAATCATTCATGCCGCCTTGTCGTGAGTTGAGTAGCCGAACAAAAGAAAAGTCTTTTGTCCTTTTGATGAAAAACGGTTGGGAACGCCGCCAACAATGCATGGATATGTGACTCTCCGAAACCCCAAATCGCAGTCCCAATAGAATGCGTAGCAAGTGATGTGAGCCTCGTAGGAAATCACTCTTCGATATGTGTGTAGTTTTGCTGTTGCGGTTTGGTTTGGTTGGATTATGTGTTTCCACCTACGCCAACACCGCTGTTTTGTCTTCCCCAAACCCCACCTGACTGGCGCCATTCTCTCTTTTGAGCTTCCGAAGGGCCTTCGGTGTCTGAATGCTCATACTGGCTTCCGCCATAGGGTGAAGGGTGGCCATTTTCTTCATGTGGCCGCCATCTTTGGGGTGGTGTACCAGGATTGGGTTGGTTGAAAGGAGGAATGGGCATGGGCGGTTCCTGCACAGTGCGGACGCTGCTCTCTTGCTGTTGCCACAGAGCGGGGTCAGTCTCAACCCTTCGGGGAGGGGGCCGGGATGAGTTGTCTGGTCTGTTAAAGACCTCATTGACTTCGCCCAACCCTGGTCTTTGACCCATGCGGTCCTGGTAACGCTTAAGAATGTCCTTGGTAGTGAGATCGGCAGTGTTGCCAAACACAAATGGATCGTTGACCATTTCCATAAGCTCGTCAGGAACCTACAAGAACTAATTAGTATCGCGAAATGTCTGATGACGGGATAGCAATCTTACCAGGCACATCTCTTCGATAGAGGTGATCATATCGTTCACGGCGACAATCGCGAACATAGGGTCGCTGTCCAGTGCAGGCGCTTTGTTGCTGTTGTAAAGAATGTTCGGTGCAATAACGGTTGCAAGATTCTTGATGTCCATCCTAGATCCGGCTTCCTCGTCCACTTGATGGAAGGATCCAGCCCACTTCAAAAAGCAGAACAGAATCTCCAAGCAGTCTCGGTGAGCCTTGGGCAAGAGACAGCAGATGAGGTGCAGATACGACTTGCGCTTTGCATCGTCCTGAATCTTGGCGACAGAAATCCAGAGCTTCTGGAGCTTGAAAGTCAAGAGTGGATCGGGCAGCTCACGCAAATAGCGCTTCAACAAAGCGGCAACCTGTACAACAGGCTGGTCCATGAAGCTAATGCTGTCGCAGCCTTCCCGGTCGATTCTTTCGCAGAGCTCAGACAGCTTCTTGATGTTGCCGTTCTTTCGGAAAACACCCTCAACGGAAAGATCCATCTTTCTCATGGATGAGATAAGGTCGTCAATGATTGCAGGAATCTTGAGTGTTCCGGGGCCTACACCGTCTGTTGACTCGGCGCCATCCTTGTCAATGATGACGTCCAAGGGTACTCCGAAAATGCCCTTCTTCTTGACATTCTTCGGCCGGTCGTTCTTGAATGCCTTGCCCAAGTTTTTCCAGAACGTCGGCTGCTTTCTCGACTCGATAAAGCTCAATAGCTCTTCCAGAGGGAATTCGTTCTCAACGGCAGGCGCCAGAGTCAAGACTGCCAGGTGACGCACGATGAAGTACTCCAATCCCGAGAGCTCCGAAAAGTACTTCCGTCCCAGACGCTGAGGCATCGCATCGCCCATGCGCAACTCAGCCTCTCTACCTGCCGACTGCGATCTTTGATGTCCCATGGGGTCGGTTGCGGGGGACCGGAAGAGTTCCTGGCGGTTGGGCTTATATTGTTGCTCTTTGACTTGTTCGGCAGCAACGATTCGCGGGATATCGTCCAGCGTCAGAGCGTCTTGGTGGTTGAACATTTTGTCCGTTGTGCCTTCGTCGTTTGGGCCTCTTCGTTCCTCGAGAATATGGAGGTCCCCATCAGCTCGGCCTAGGTCCTCGCCCGCGGATCCTGGGCGAACGCTGCGTCCCTCAGGCCCGTCCATAATGCGCGACGTTCTGGCCTTGCGAAAGCTTGAAGACAAATGCTTGTCGAGACGAGTACTTCTCAATCGGCGAACATCATTCAGCGTGTTCTCGTAGGAAGACTCGCGATTGTGCTCCCGTTGATCTCCAGCGTACGACTTCGAGCGGTTGTCTGAGTTTAGGTAGGGTGCTTCTCCGGGAGCCAAAGTTCGGGCACCCTCGCCTGGACCATAACCATCCGAGTTCTGGTCATCGTTTTGCCGAGGCAAAGCGCCGTTGCTTCGTAGGATGTCCAATAACCGCGCGAGCGCCACCTTCAACAAGAAAACGTACTGCTGGAGCTTGGTGACATGCTCGAAAGGCGGCATATCATCACCGTTGGCGCCGATGCAGTTGTTGCAGTAGATCTTCTTGTCAAAGGCATTGTAGCGAGCATCTTCCAGCTTGCGACCGATATCTCTTGTGCAACGTGAGCAGCTGACACAGGCAATGTGCCATCGCCGGTCGGAGTTCTTTGCGCACTCGTCTTCGACAGACTTATTGCAGAGTGCACAGTGATCAGAATCCTTCGCCGAAAGGCGCGAGTTGCCTGTAATAGCCTGTAGGGTGTTGTCGTCGGGCTTTACGCTGTCCAGTTCGCTCAGGTCATCCAGGAACTGATAAATGCCGTCGGAGCTCTTAGACTCCTTCTCAAGGCGCAACGCTCCCTGCAGACAGATTCGAATGAGAAGCTTGAGGTAGTGAGCAAGACCTGTGACTAGGGACAATAACTCTTGAGTGACGCCAAGCTTGCGGGCTCCCGTGTCCTGGGTCTTGGACAGCAGCGAGAAGAAAGATACTATCTTTTTGCACAGAAGCTTGGCCTCACGACCGTACGACAATCCTATTTCTGGACTGTTAGCGAAGAACGTGATCTGAGAGTATGGCTATTCAAAGCTCACCTTTGAGCTTCAGTTGATCCATGGAGTAGTCCAGGCGATCAGCAGACTGGAACAAGATCTCAACATGCCAGATAAACTTCTTGGCGACCAGCACACCGTCAACATAGGCGCCGTTGCTCACGTGGAGGAGCATATCGGAGATGCATGCCGCAGACGACTCCTCGAAAGTTGACAGGACACTCCAAATACGGTAGACCTTCTCCTCCATGCGCTCTTCCTCCTCTCTAATGATGTCGCGCGTCGCGGGGTCGTCGGTCTCCTGAGGTAATTCGGAGGGGTCACTCGGCTGCGTAAGTCGCACGTTCCAAAACTTGTGGATCATGTAACACTCGGGATGCCAGTGCTGGTTCTGGCCGTTCCTGTAAATTTCCACAAACTGCTTGAGAATTGCAGTCTGGCAGCCATTGCATCTTTGCGCAAACTGCGTAGAGTAGTGGTAGTGACAATACACGTTGCCATCGTGCTCGTAGTAGCTGTCCTGCGCGCCAAAGACCGTGGGACACAGGGAGCATGTGAAATGGTCGACGTGATACTTTCGGTCGAGAGCGGTGATGTAGGAGCCTCGAAGGGCGCCACCGCACTGGAAACAAAGTAAACCCAGCCGGCGGAAGTAGTCTGTCTCGCATAGAGGATACTGCCCTTCACCACCTTCGTCATCAACGGGAAAGAACTTGGAGGCTACAATCTGGCCGCAATCCTAGTGGTAAAATTCGAGTTAGAACAATTGGAGAAGAACAGGGGATATTCTGAAGACGTACACGACACTTGAAGCAATCCAAGTGAAAGGTTCCGTCCAGTGCGCGAACGAATTGGCCGGTGAGAGGCTCTCCACACTTCTTGCAGGTCCTCTGTTGACCGCTGGCTGACCGCCCACCTCCTCTTCCTTTGGATCTACTGCGTTCACCGCTCCGCCTTGAGTCGCCCTCTCGACCAGGTGTTCTGGGGCCGGGCGAACGTGAGGGCTGCTGTGAGCGATAATTTCTTTCGGGAGTTCTCCTTCCTCCATTCTGCCAGACTCCATCACCGGGATAACCAGGTTCCATAGGGGTGGCGGCGGGGTGGGCTTGCAAGCGGTCGTCCGGCGCCCCATGATCGTAATCCGACGCCATGGTGCAGTAGTGTTCGCGTCGTCTTGTCTGCGCGTGGTGTGTTCGATTACAACTCTTCACTGGTAGGGCGGGATGAATTGGAAAGCGGCCCGTCAGCCTTGAGTGTCGGAGGTGGGAGTTGCCAGGAAATTATCGGTCGGCATCAGCTGGGCTGCGAAAATGCCGGGGGGTGGTCGTGGTGGAATGGGTAGGTAGGTATGTACTGGGGTCGAGAATTGAAGAAAAGGGTCGTCGTCGCACGGCGGCGGTATCGTGCTGGGCGATAGTAAATAATTCGGGTAACAGCCGTCAGGTACTCGCGAGACTGGCGGGAGACGGGTAGCCACGTCGCAGGCGCTGGGCTGAAGGGGATGGTGGTGGTGAAAGTAGTGGTAATCGGGGTTGGGATTGGGATTGGGAGTCGGTCGAGTACGAATAGTCGGGGGTCAGGGTGAGGGTGAGGGCGTGGGTGAGAAGAGGGTCGGGGAGAATGGGTCGGGGTCGTCGAGGTTAGGTTGTTGGCTTGTGGTAGTGGAGCAGCCCAGCAGCGACAGGGCGACGTTTGGAGCAGGAGCTGAAATGCTGCCAGCGACCGACCGAACACTTTCGTCTCTCGTCTCGTCTCGTCCGAAGAAAGGAAGGCGGAAATGAGATTGAGAAGCGGGGGGAAAAACCACACAAGGGCGGACCACAGTAGTAATGCAAGGCTATGTGATGCGGGAGGGGGGAAAATAGGTAAAACCTAGAAACGTCCTGTCCTGGGCGTCGTACACGTAGTGGTAGTGGTCGCAGTCCAAAGTCCAGCACCAACACCGGCTGGAGAAAAGGAAAAAAGGGGCCGGGTCGAGGATGATCAAAGGAGTGTGGGCGAAGGCGCGGTGGTGGTTTTGTTGTGAGGCGTTCGTTGCTGGCCGTAGGGAGATTTAGTGTGGACTTGATCGGCTGCACCCAAAAAGATGGGCGAATCCCAGGGCCGGGCTGTACTGTGGGTGCAGATGTGGGTGATGTGAAGGTAAATAAATGGGCAGGAGAATCCAAACCCTCTATCGTCTTTTTTCTTCTTCGTCTGCGTTTTGTTTGTCCGTACCTTAAGCCTTGAGCACGCAGAAAAGATACCTCGGGAGGAAGAAAGTAAAGCAAGGTATGTATGGGAAGATGAGGTACCTACGTAGGCATGTAGGTAAAAGGTACGGATATGAGGCGCCAAAAGTGAGGTAAGTGGTGTGCACTGTTGCCGTGCCTGCTTCTTGTGTGGTGTGGTTTGTGCGGGTGGAAGGTAAGTAGGTACCTAAGGCAGTGGAGGGCAGCGGGCGGTAAGGCGAGTAAGACGGAGCGGAGTGAGAGCTGGGCGGGCATGGGATGGGAGAGCCGAGAGAGAGCAATACCTAGAGTGAGACTCGGTCAGGTTTCTTACCTTACCTAGGTAGGTATTGCCTTCAGGCAGGTACCCAAAGTGCATGGGAGGTTCCTTACGTTACGAAAAGCCAGCACCCAGGCACGCAGGAAGGCAGGCGCGCCACACTACGGAAAGTGTAAGGTACCTTCCCGTCCCTTCCTAGGTCCTTCGGATACCCAAATTACTCCTCACTGCCGTAAGGCGCTAACACTGGGGATCATCATCTCTATGCACTGTTTGGGTTCTTCAGAGACGCTGGCTTGTGGCGTTCCAAAGGATGACTTCTTTTTTTATTTTGCCCATCTCCTTCCTTCAAAACCCCAGTCTGTCTGCAACGAGGTCGAAAGATACGACGGCTTACCTACGCAGTACGTGATGTACAGATTAAGATACCCCCGGCCAATGAGAACGAAGGTGACAACATGTTTGGCCTCCAAGTCATCGACGTTGGGCTTTGCTGTCCATACCTATCTGTAGGTACCTTATTGAGCCTGCACCTGCATGGTGGCACTTCCGCCCTCTCCCACCTTCCCAGCCCAATTGAGACGGTGAGTCTTCTGTCGTCTGTACCGTGTACGAATACCTGTCAGGCAACCTCCAACGAGGGGAAGTTATCCAAGTAGAACAGCCAGCAGCACCTGGCAACAGAAGCCGTCTGCCATGCAATGCCTCGCCGGGGGCCCTTTCATTGGGCGCCCCCCTCTTCTCCCAGCGGAGAACGGGACAAGTCTGTCTCGTCCTCACTGGACATGGAAAGGGAACCCGTGATGATGATGGGGATCCAATGCTATTTACAGTGGAATTGCAATGCTCCTGCCAGGACGAGCGTGTGGATACCATACCTTTGCCCCCATTGGTGCTTCGGCCGAGGAATCAAGTTGACGTCTGTGCACGGTCCACTGCAAAGATGCCCGCACAGCGGAGAAGGAGGAGGGGCTTCACAGCATTTTTGGGCGCTTGGCCGAGCAGGAACGAGGTCAGGAGCAGACAATCTGACCCGGGACGCGAGACGTTGCCTTCCTATCGAAACCTTACCCCCAAAGTTTCTTACATAAGATACCAAGGCACCTTTCCACAAAACCTTGATTTTCAAGTCCGATGATGACAGTCAACCAATTCCTCAATGAGAAAAGGTCACAATATACAATTAACCCAGGTTTCCTTAGGAAAGCTGTGGTAAACAGCGCAAGAAAGAAAAAAGCATCCGATCACCTGCAACATCACGTGGATCTGGCTGATCTTCGGCCATCTCCCTCCTTGGGATGATCTCGAAACGGGGCTCCACCAAAATTTGGATATACGAGTTTACTTTAGATAAACGCCGATGCAAGCTTCGGGAAAGATTGATCTAAAGTAACATTGCCGTCGTATGTAATCTGCTGATCCCAACGGACCTGCTCCACCCATCTAACGACTCATCGTGAGCCTCGGGACGAGACCAGGGACCTCACTCGGTCTCGGAATTTGTTCACCGGCCTCTTCTTCTCACAAGCGTACTGGTCTTTTTTCACCCCCTTTTACTTATTCAACCTCCGTCAGATCACTTCTGACTGTTTCATCAGTCTCTTATGCATCTTGCGCTATCTGGAAATATGTTTGCATCTTCAGCCACGTCCTTGCCTCTCATCTTGCCTTGCGTCGTCTTCAGAGAAGACAATTTATGTGATTCCTAGCCAGCCACCTGTAGCTGCAAAATATGCTTGGTCCAGACTGTGGTCTTGCATACCCGTTGCGTTGCGTCGTCCGATAGTTCGACCGATGCTACGGTCCGAACAGCCACCAACAAGCTACAGCGACCCATCCGCCGTGCAATCGTCTGGTTTTCGGTCATTACGTGAATAGGTTGGCTCGAGTGATATCGTGGTATGTGTAGATGAGAATTTACGACTCAGCTTCCCAGCGTGACAGAGGAATATGGGTTGAGCTGACATGGTGATGCAGCTAGGTATCACTTTCGCTTAACTTCATCTGCTGGGTGTACCATCTGAGCTTTTTTAGGTAACACTACCTATGACTATAGTCTATCTCGGGCTCTTCCAGAAATGTTCCGCCTTATTCTTTTATGAGCTAAGTGCTCAATCTAGCATAATTCCATGAGATACGACTCCAGAAGTGTCGGCGCCAAGTATCGTGATGTATTCATTGAACATCTGCGCTATCTATGCCCTTCTGACGGTTTTCAGATTGGTATTCTTTGCCACAGTCATATCAAACTCTTTATTTTATAGTATGAGCTTGATCTGCCCCATTATTGCCTGATTTCGCATTACCTCGTTGACAGATCTAGCGGCTTGTTGTCAGGCATTTCAAAGCACAATTCTCTTGAGAGGCACGCTTTCCCTGAAGTGAGCTCTTTGCGGTCATCATATTTAGGAGGCTCCTGGTTGAGGGACCAATTGTATCCGGTGTCAGTCTCTTTACAATGACGAGTCAATTTGATTCGTATTGCTGCAACTTCCTCCCTAGGATGAATGGTTTCGAAAAGGCGAGATAATCAGGGTTGAAATGACCTCATCAGCCAAATGGGCCTCTAGGAGAAAGTGAGAGGTAATTCCAACCCGCCTTGCAACCTGGTTGATGAAACGAGTCTATCATATAACATGACTAGTTCAATTTAGCCGGTCATTTGGAGCGAACTAAGCACATCTTATTCAGAAAGAGACGTCTCAAGCTCAGGGCAAAAGGTCCTAGCGACTCTCTGCCTGATGTATTCTGAAGCATTTTGAGGTCATTCCAACGCATTCAGCAGACATAGGAGAAGCCTGCATCCACCATTGAAGTTTGAAGGTATCGTGTTCGCCACGTAGTGAACTCAATGCAGCACAGGCCCGTAGACACGATTTCCTCTCCCTGGAGGAACAAGGCGCTCGTTTGACAGATACAGAAAGTGAAGACAGACGAAGATCCAGCTTGATTACACTCGATTGAAAACGAACGCTGGTTCGAGATCCACATCGACACTTTCCGATCAACTAATATAGAACTGCCACTTAACGTGTTGATCACTCGCACGTGAAGATATAATGGCAACCGGTTGTTCCACGTTGGAGCTATCACCGCACGAACACCCAACTTTACCCAATCGTTGCAACAAGTCATCGACACAACGAGCCTAGATCCTCTCCAAGGCATTCAAGTGAATTTAATCCACCTCACGGTTTCGAGAGTTCTGATGCCCCGTCAATCTGATGATCTTTGTAACCCATCATCACCAAGTGGAGTACACCGATAAGGATCCCCCCAGATCAAACCATACGCCACTCCTATCTCCGCCACCACCCCGTCACGAGTCTCCATCATATTCAAAAATACACTCGGCAACACAGCTCTAGAATCTCTTCATACTAGACACTGTCTTGCTCTTCCCGAACAAGAGTTGCGGCATACTCTCATATTAACTCAACGTACACAGTAAGACCCTTCCCCCAATGCCCCGCCCCCACTTCGTTTGCCTCTATCAAAAAAGCCATCTCTAGGCCTCATAAACTCATGACCTTTGCCACCCAGTTCCCCAACAAACAGCAATATGAACGACACAGAAGGTCTCGCAATCGCGATCGAGGAGGCCAAGACCGGCGCCTCAGAGGGCGGCGTCCCGGTACGTTAAGCTCATTACCACCCGGGAGAAAAGATACAAACCCCTAACCCAACCCCAGATCGGAGCCGCCCTCGTCTCCGCAGACGGCAAGCTCCTCGGCCGCGGCCACAACCGCCGCGTCCAGATGGGCTCGGCTATTCACCATGTAAGTCAATCAAGCCTTTCAACTGGCCTCTCTTCATTCAAACCCCACAATCACATCAAAAAAAACTCACATAAAGCTTCCAAAACTAGGGCGAAACCGACGCCCTCTTTAACTCGGGACGCCTGCCCGGAAAGGCATACAAGGGCAGCACAATGTACACGACTCTTTCCCCCTGCGATATGTGTGAGTTTCCTTCCCTTCCCTCCCCTCTGAACGCTGAACGCGCCTCTAAACCTCTTCCACCAGGCACCGGAGCCTGTCTGCTCTACGGTATCTCCCGCGTCGTCATTGGCGAGAACAAGACCTTCCTCGGCGGCGAGGAGTACCTCAAGCAGCGCGGCGTGGAAGTCGTCGTTGTCGATAACGCGGAGTGCAAGGCTCTCATGGACAAGTTTATTGCTGAAAAGCCTGAAGTCTGGTAAGGAAGATGCCCGTCCCCTGCCATCCGGACGGCACACGTTGCTGTTAAAGCACCTCGAGAGAAATACTGACCAAGCCAGGAACGAGGATATTGGGGAGGAATGAAGTAAATAGCCACAGGTGGGCAACGTATGTATAGGTAGTGAGCGTTTGACAACGTATCACGCCCTATATTGGCTATCGGGGCCTTGAGCTACAGCTTTACTTGAGAACTTGTTTTATTCAACACTAGGACATCTAGCAACCGCCCTTGGCACGAGGAACTCATCGCGTTCCGCCAACCTCCCCCGTGCGGCCAGTTGCTATCACAAGACAACGTGTCTGTACCTTGACACAAGTTTTTCTTTCGCGCTTGAACGAAATGCATAATCTACACTAGCGGGGCGGGAGTTTCCGCTCTCCGGCCCAGGACTTCAACCGTTCCTTATACCTCAGACCATCTTCCAAAACTCCCCAAAGTCGCAAAATGAAAGAAACATGTCGTAGTCTCTCAAGAGAGCAAGTTGCGTAGAGAAGGACTAGTGCTCGCTCCCGCGGGTCGAGGCGGCTCGTTGGAAGGGCGCATGCCGGGTGTCCTCAGCGGACCTCCGGCATCATGAGCTGGGGGGCTGCCGTATGGTGAACGCTGCGGTAGCAGTCCCTGAGCGAACGCATCGGGGCCCCTAGGTTGAGGCCCGCCATTTGGTAGGCCGTGAGGTGATCCGTGAGGAGGTTGCCGATAAGGATGTACATAGGGCGGTGCGTGTGGACCATGGGATCCATGAGACATGGGCCCCGCCATCAGCGGCGAAGGCGGCATTCCGTGATGCACAGGTTGGCCAATATGTCCATTGGGACCAGATGGTGGTGTAGGGGCCATCGACATTGGAATCATTGGCGGAGGACGTAGGTTAGCCAACGGCTGGAAAATAGGACGCTGCGGTGGCGATCCATGACGTGGAGGTGGGCGACTGTTCCACTCGTATCTTGGTGCAGGAGGAGGGCCATAGGGACCCGGAGCTTGGTGAGGAGCTGGAGCCGGGTTTGGCGGCGGTGGTGCGGCAGCAGCCTGGACTGGCGGCGGCACAGGCACAGGCGCTGGATGCGGAGCCGCAGGCTGGGAGGCAGGTGGCTGTGGAGGAGGTGCTGGAGCAACCCAGGCATACGAAGAGAGGCTTCGAGCTCTGGCCTCTGCGCCGGTCGTTGGTGGGCTCCTCAAGGGCGGAGGAGGTGCTGCGAGAGCGTGGTGTGCGGGAACAACCGGTAAAGGTGGAGGTGGTACCAATCTCGCAGCAACCTCGATGACTGGAGATGGTTCTTTGGGTGCATGAGGAACCGGCTTCCTCTTCAATTTGCGGCACTTATGACACTGGAACTTTCTCTGCTCGACAAACTTCTGAGCCTCTGAGCCAAGGCTTCCGTAGTGACCATTGGTGAGTTCCCGCTCATCGGAGTTCTCGATGGGCCACCACTTGAGAGCGACGTCGATGCCACAGGTAATGCATATCTTCTCTCCTGCTTGGTGAGTGCTCGTGGTCTCGCTGTTCACACTCCGAGAAACAACGTTAGAAGGTGCAGTGGTGGTTGATGCTCGCCGAGTGCTTGGCGTTACAGGAACACCTCCCATCTTCGCAGCATTCGTCATCAGGTTGGCCTTCCTGACTGTGCCAGTCAAGGTGAGATCTGCCTGCTTGTAGCTCTGCACATAGTACTGTAGAGCAGTGAGGCCATCCTCGTCAACAATGTCGTGCATCTGATGAATAACGCTCTTTGTTGGAACGTGCTCCTTGCACCACACTGTGGCCGACATGACACCGGTTTCGCCATTGATGGTGACGAGATTGAACTGGTCACGGCGAGACCCCTTTACAGGAGTGATGTCAAAGCCGAGGAGGTAACCCTTTTGGCGAGCACATTCAACATGAACTAGGAATAGCGATTAGTAGGCATCCAAGAAGTTGAATGAGCAGTACTTACGAGGGTCTCGACAGTAGTGGCAAGTAATGCAAGCACCGCCTTTGTGGTTGCAGGCCAAGCAAACCTCATCGTACCTGGCACGAGGGATAGAAGGAATGCCCTCAGATGGACTCAATGCCTTAGCATTGCCAAACTTGACCTCAGGTGTCCAAACAGCACAGGTGACATGGACCCAGTTGTTGTCTGCGGTCCGTTTCAAAGGCTCCCTGGGGTTGACTGGGCGATTGGCATCCTCCTGCTTTTTCTTGTAGTAGTCGGCAGCCTTTTGTGCCTGCTCTCGTTCCACTCTCTCGCGCTCCTTTTCCTTCTCTGATTTCTTCTTGGAAGTAGAGATCTTGGGTTGCTCGACGAAGTCATGTTCCGTATGTTCAATTGGGCACAAGACACACTTGTATTGCTGTCCAGAAGTCAACATATGAAACGAGATTAGTCAAGGGCGGCAAATAACTTACGATCGAAACCTGTGGGCTCTTGTCATTGGCGCACATATCGCAGGTCCATTTGCCAGGGTGCCTGTTGTCGACAACTCCATAACAGTTGCGGTGGACTGTCAGTCTGCACTCTTTACACGACAGATGCTGATCTCCCAAGGGCTCCAACTGGTTGCAAATTGCGCAAGGCATAGTCTTGGGCTTCGGGATTTCTGGAACTGGTGGAGGTGCTGGTTTCTCTTTCTCGACCGCTTTTTCCTTCTTCTTGGGCGGAGCGGCAACAGGAGCTGAGTCTGAGGCGAGCGACTCTGAGTCTCTCTCTGGGGCTGATCCCTTGAGCTTCTTCCGCGGAGGTTCGCTCGAAGGTGCCGCTGAAACTGCCACAACCGGCTCTGGAGCGATGGCTGGCGGAGGGGTGTTCCAGTAAGTGTGCATTTCCTTAGCTGCCTCAAGCTCTTTGAGCAGTTCCTCGTCCTGTCTTTTCTTCCAGGCTCGACCACCTGCTTGAGCGATCTTTTTGGCGACCTCGTCCATTTCTTCCCATTGAATGCCGTAGCGCCGCCAGAGCTCCGCGCATCTGCGACAAAGAGCATTGATGTACTGGCCTTTGTCCTTGGTGGAATTCTTGCCCTCGCTGACAGGTGTTCCCGATGCATTGGGAGCTCGCCTCCATTGCCTGGAATATTTGGTGTGGCAGAACTTGCACACGAAGCTCTTCTTCTTGCTTGCCGCCTTCTCGCAATCGAATGCAGAGTCGTCTGCATCATCGGCGATATCGTCCTGCAACTTACTTGCAGCAACCTCTGCCTTCTTGGCTTCCTTCTTGCTTTTTCTGTTCTGGAAATTTCCCCAAATCTGTTTGCCTTGCGGGGTCTTCTTCCAGTTGTAGTAATATCGTACAATCTCTCCGGGCGAAAGAGTCTTGACGTGTCGCTTGACGAGATAAAGCTCGGATCCGTACTTGCTGACACCTTCCTCGAACCTCTTCTGTTCCGTGGCCGTCAGATCGGGTTCCTTGAAAGTCGCCTTGTTCACTTCCGAGAGCGCCTTCAGTGCGCGATCTTCATCATAGTCACTGCTGTAGTACTTTGCCACAGCAATATCGTGGAAGTTGGTCGAGTTTTTTGCCAGACCAAACTTGGCCGTTAACTCTTCCGCCTTTTTCATGTACCGGTCGAGCTTGGCTTCCCACCCAGCATTCTTCTCAGTTGCTGGGGGAGGCAACCAGATGCGTGTAGCTGTGGCGTTTGGGTCGTCAGGGTCGTCGTCTTCTCCTCTCGCCACATAACCTGCAGGTTCATCTTGAACCCACTTAGGACGCTTCTCACGTCGGATCTTCTCAGCCTCCAGGGCAGCAAGCGCTTCTTTCGATAGCCCGGGCCCCTTCTTCCCCGTCCTCTTGAACTCCAGAGGCTTTTGATACTGTACAGGCTGGCCGGGCCAAGGAAGCACGGGCGCTTGATGTTTGGGACCTATGCGAGTGCTTGCGCGGGGGTAAATTCGGTCATCGTAATCGAGGGCATCTTCGGGCCTGCAATGCATTCCAAGGTAGCGCCAAGGCCACAGGCTGGCTTGGTAGATTTGCTCCGCAGTGCCCGTACGATGAGCGTCGTCGTCCTCAGCAGGACTCGTCCGTTCGGTGTCGATTTGCATCTCATCATCATCGTCGTCGTACAAGTCCTCATCATCAGCATCGCCCGCATTTTCCTTGAGACTGTTCGGGTTAGGAGTATGCCGAGCCTCCAACTTCCGCTCCTGCGCACGACTACAAGCAGCGCAGGACCAAGCGAAGCCTCTGGAGGGTTTCTTGAGCAGGGGCGGCCTGACACAGTTCATGTGGTATGTCTTCTTACACACAGCACAGTCGACCGAGTCATTGCTGTAATGCTGTTAGTGACCCCAACTCTCCATGAGACTGCTGCGTGGGTGGACTAACCTTGCACAGTAGCCGGTGCATCGCTTGCAGGACTTCACCGCACTAGTGAACTCTTTTCCGCGGCCCTGCTCCACAATAACGAATTTCCAGCGTTCGTCTAGCACTTTCTTCACCCTCTCAGGCACGTTCACGATTGTCGACGTAGGGATCAGATCGTAATTTTTCTGGATGTAGCGGTCGTACAATTTTTCGTACCAGAAATTGTCCGAAATTTTTCGGTATTCGTCCATGTTGGGAATTTCCGCCTTGTGCAGGATGTGGCACTTACCACGCAAGGCTGTCAAAGGACTGATATCGGAATGCATCGTCGCAAACACTAGTCGGGTGTCGTTGACCTTCTTGCCGATGTCCTTGGGTCTGTAGAACCAATTGATGCGAAGTGCATCCACCGGCTTTTTGCTGTTGTTCTGCATGTGGAGAAACTCCATGATGCGACCCAGGTAATATGGCTCGCCCGGAGGCTCACACAC